GGCAGGGGATTGAACACGGTTGTTTGCAATGGTATGTTATCCTCTCTCTCACTCAACCATCTATCGCGTCTGCTTACTGGCTTCATAGCCCTCGGCGGTACGAGTCTGATGAACGCCAATGTCTTCCTGGAGGCAGACAAGGAGACATTGTCTATGCCGGTCTGGCCTGAGGAAATCAGGAAGGACCCTAGCAGCCTCGATAAATGTAAGTCTACTCGGGGCCTCGACAGTCATGTCCATCTACCCCTTGACCGGCACAAGCTGATAGATCTGCAGACTATGATTGGGCCCGAAAAGTGCTCGAACCAATGCCATATCCCGACGACTGGCCCGAACTGCCCAAGGTCCAGCTTCTGAAGAAACAGGCCGAAGCCCTCGGCATGGCTGACAAGTTCAAAATGGTGCCCCAAACGACGCGATTTCGCAACGGCCCTAATAGCACCGGCGTTGAAATGGCGCCCTCTGCTTTGACGGGACAAGATTGCACGGGTGTGAATGATGGATCCAAGAACTCGACTCTCGTCACATACTTGGCTGATGCTTGGAACTGGGGTGCCGAGATGTTCTGCGAATGTGAGGTCCGTTACATCAAGAAGGCTGAGGGCCGAGAGGGCTACATCATCTACTTTGCTTGGCATGGCCGGAACAGGGGCCACTTCAAGGCGAACCTTCATGACGACCTCATGTGGGTGCACGCCAAGGAGTGTGTCTTTCTCGGCGCCGGCTCAGTGGGAACAACGGAAATCCTCCTTCGAAGCAAGGAGATGGGTCTGCCCATGAGTGACCGTGTCGGACAGAACATGAGCGGCAACGGCGATATGCTAGCTTTTGGGTTGGTGTCGCCGCCTTTCTTTCCCACCGGCCTCCCTTAACTAACTTTATGCTAGATACAACACCGACTACGAAGCCAACGCCATTGGCAAGCCCTTCCCCAACCCTTATAACCCCATTGGGCCGACCATCAACTCCATCATTGACGATCGCGCGGGTCACGAGAATCCGCTTGACGGCTATGTCATTGAGGAGGGCGCCATCCCTCGCGCCCTGGCCCCCTTCCTCCAGACCCTCCTGGAGATGATGCCCGGCAACCAGGCCCCTACTGGCGAGTCTTTCAGCGAGAAGGTTCGCTCGAGTCTCGCAAACTACAAGAGTCGTTTTCTGGGGCCCTACGCCCAAGGCGGTGCTCTGGATAACACCCAAGTATACCTGGTCATGTCACATGACAGTGAGTGTGTCTCGAACCGAACGTCTCCGACCTGCGACTAACACCCGTTAAAGGTAGCCAAGCCATGTTGACTCTAAAGGACGACAAGCCTGTGCTGGAATTCCTCGGCGTAGGCCGCAGCGACCAGGTCAAGAAGCTGCATGATCTCCTCAGCAAGGCGACGCAGGCTGTGGGCGGCACATTCGTACACAACCCATTCTATGCCTTGATGGGCAACCAGCAGGTCACCGTTCACCCCATTGGGTATGTTGCGTGAAAGGCACTCTGGTTATGGACTCGTGCTAACATAAATTGACAGCGGTGCTTGCATGGCACGTGATGGCAGCCCCGAGACGGGCGTGACGACACACGCTGGCGTTGTCTTCACCGGAGAAGATGAGGAAACCCACGACGGCCTCATTATCACAGATGCTTCCGTCATTCCCGCCGCTCTCGGTGTCAATCCTTTCGCCACCATCACTGCCCTCGCTGAACGCTCAGTTGATCACTTCATCCGCAGGAAAAACCTCAAGATCCACGAAAAACGCAATGGCATCATTGATCTCTTTGGCGAGCCAAAATATTCACCCCAGAAGATGAAGAAAGCAAAGCTTGATGCGGAAGCGCTGGAGATCAAGGAGGCAAGCTCCAAGATTTCACGCGCCATGGTTTCGAATGCCGCTGGTTTTGGCTTCACCGAGGTCATGTCTGGCTTCGTGCACCGCGACACTGGACTCACCGGCGACAAGCGTAGCACCTACGAGTTGGCGTACCGAACGGCCAAAAGCCTCTGCGAAAGCGCACGCTTCTTCCTCAGCGTACAAGCATTCAACACGAGGTCGACCATTCAGGAGCCCGACCACTCGGCAATGCTGACCGGCACTTTTGTCTGCCCTGCCATCTCGGGCTCACCGTTCATGGTACAACGAGGAGATTTCAATCTCTTCATCCTTGACCAGAAGGCACCAGGGACGCGCAACATGACCTATGACTTTGACATGCGCGGCATTGATGGCAGGACACTGCACTTCCACGGCTACAAAGTTGTCGACTCGTCCGTGGCACTGGCTCCGTTCCAGTTCTGGAGGGCTACCAGCACCCTGTACGTGACTATCCTGGAGCCGTGTCACGACCTTGATACGGCAGAAAACTGCGAGGAGCCGTGGCGACTCGGCAAAGTCGTGGCCAAGGGCATCATGCATATCCAGCCTTCCGACTTTTTCTCGCAGATCATGACAATGACTCCTACGGGGAGCAGCCTCTTGAAGAAGGCCTACAGCGCGGCCAGCTTCCTCACGTACTTCACTCGCAAGTCTCTCTCGCTCTTCCTAGGGCCGTTCACGCCACTGCAATACCCTAGTGTGAGCTACAATGGCTACGTCAACGATACGCCGACCGACGCGTCCTTTGTCATTGTAGCACAGGACAATGTCAAGACAAAGATGCACATGTGGGAGTCGACAAACTCTGACCTCGAGACGAAGAACCTGATCATGATACCTGGAGCGGCAGTGGACCACCAGATCTACGCGCTGCCCACGATCCAATACAACGCGGTCAACTACTTCACGCGGGCTGGCTACCGGGTCTTCATTCCCGTACATCGCATCGGACAGCTGATGGTAGCGCAGAACAACTGGACGACGTATGACGCTCGTCTGGACCTTCGCGCTTGCCTCGAGTATATCCGGGAGAACTATGCTGACGGCAATGCCGAGGGCAACAAAATCTATGCCATCGCGCACTGCATGGGCAGCGTGGCCTTTTCCACCGGCCTTTTGGACGGAACTATCCCGAGCGACTGGATCCTCGGTATTACAGCCAGCCAGGTCTTCATGAACCCGCTGTGGAGTAGGTTGAACTCTGCCAAGGCCCTCGTGGGACCGGTATCTCTGGACAGAGCCTACAGGACGGTGCTCGGCAGTTGGTTCTCTTGCAGCACCGCAAAGGACGATAGCTTCTTCCAGCGCATGCTCAATGAGGTCTTGCGCTTCTACCCAGAGGAGCGCGCCGAGATTTGCAACAACGCCAGCTGTCACCGGTGCACGCTCGTGTTTGGGCGTTGCTGGAACCACCGAAACCTCAATGAGGCGACGCATCGGCAGATCGACCGGTTCTTTGGCGGTGTCAACATGACGCAACTGCATCTTCTCATGAAACAAGGCCTCGACGGCCACGTCATGACGAACGGCCCGCTGTTCCAGCGCCTCACGACTGACCGGAATATCCGTCGCCTCAGAGGCATCCCGTTCCTGCTCTTCGTGGGCCGTGACAACGCCGTCTTGACACCGGAAGCGACAGAGCGGACGTATGAGACACTGTGCGATGTGTTCGGATCCAGCGGCGGCAACCCCGATGATGGCATCCAGTACCGGAGACGCGTGGTCCCTGACTACGGACATCTGGACTGCTGGATGGGACGCAACGCATGGAAGGATGTGTACCCATTTGTGAGGGAAGAGGTGGACCGTGTTGTCAGGGGTGGATCTTACAGGTTTGAGGAGCCTGATGACCGATTTTTGGCCATGACGGAGAGTGGTGAACTACTGTATTAGGTAGGCGTTTTGGATACATCGATCTTTGGTTGTACAGGTACAGCTGGGGTGGACAACATGTGGGCAAGGCGAGGCGGTCAATGGTTCTGGCTGCGGACAGGAGTTTAGGGGTTCACTGACGTTCAAATCACGTGTATGGGTAGGATGCCAGAAGGCGTTGGTTGAGGTATTCAAGACTAGAGAATGATATCTGACTTTGCCTTGTTACTTTTATGTCTACGCGTGTCATGGGAATCATGTGTTGCTCCTCGCCTTTATGTATGAACTATCGTTATGGCAGGGCAGTAAACGCCTTGTCGTACACCAGCCGCATGTCATTCCGGTAGAGAAAGACCTGAAGGTACCACTCCTCCTCGCAATCGGCCTCGGTCCTCCGCCCAGGCGATACATCAAGCTCCTCCACCGGCGGCGCAGAACCAACACGATCCTCCCACACGATGAAAGCCACAGTCTTGCCTCCGCTGAACTCAATCCCAGGCCGGTCGTCATCCCACACAAACCCGCCCACTGTACCCCCGGGCGCCGTCATCTCAACAACCTGCCCACCTCCCCTGGTGACGCCCCCCCTTCGGTCCACAGCCACGACCCTCGCGACCCGGACCTCAAACAGGCCCCTCGCCGTCGCGAACCCGCCACGGACCCAGCCCAGCCACGGCGTGAGCCGCGGCCGCACGGTCCACGCCCCGCCGCCCGGCGCCGCCACGACAGCGCCCAGCACGTGCTCCGTCAGGAACCCCGTGGGGCCCGCGGCGCCGGCGGCACAGTGCGACATGCGCGCGTCGTCGGGCGGCCGCGCGCGGCCCCCGGCCGTCGACGGCGACGCCCGCGGCGAGGGTGCTGTTTGTGAACCCCGGCGCGTCGAGGAGGTGGGCCCAGTGGCGCAGGAGGAGGGCGACGGCGGCGGCGGGACGGCGCGCGGCGGCGTGGGCGGCTAGCTCGAGGGAGGAGGCGAGCGGCGAGAGGAGGCCGGGGGTTTCGGGGGCTGGCGCGCCGGCGGGGAGCCAGCGCGCGCTGAGGGCGCGGGAGACGGAGGAGGAGGAGGAGGAGGAAGAGGATGGATGGGCGGCGGCGCCGGCGATAAGGGCCCAGGCGTTGCCGGCTTGCGGGGCGAGGTGGTCGGGGTCGGGGCAGCGGCGGGACTCGACGAGGTTCGCTGCGTGGAGATGGGTCGTCGGGCAGTAGAGCGACTGGATGCCCTTGTGGAGGGCGGCGCGGGCGGCGGCCCAGAGGTAGTCGTCGGGACGGTGCGTGGTGCCGTCGTTGTTGTCGCCGAGCCAGCGTGCGAGGGTCATGGTCCTGTCGAGGACGACGGAGAGCAGGGCGCTTGCTTCGAGGCTGTGGCCTTGTTGCCCGGGGAGGAGGTTCGTGTTGCTGTCGATCTTGGCCACGCTGACGTTGACGGCGCGCAGGTACGCTGGCCAGCGGCGCGTGAGCCAGGTCATGTCGCCCGAGAACTTGACGTAGGCGTGGACGCTGAGGAGGGCCTGGAGGTGGTGCGTGTCGAGAAACTCGCCGTTGAAGCCAAAGGGAGGGCCGGCCCGTGGGAGCGAGCCGTCGGCGTACTGGTGCGCGAAGAGCGCATCGAGGGCGTTGCGCACGGCGAGCATGTCATGTGTCGAGACGGCGATGCCGGGCGTGGCAAGGAGCAAATCGATCGGCGAGACGATGCGGTTTCGTTTGGCACCATCAGCGATGACGGTGGTGCCGTTGGCGATGGTAAAGTTGGAGTACCAGGAGCCGGCGGGCGACTTGTTGTTGTCTACGAGACGGTTGTAGTCGATCATGGACGAGCCCTCGCTGGGGTCGAGCGTCGAGAGCTGCAGCGTGTACGCGCCGGCGTACCAGATCCTGTTGAGCAGGTTGCTTGAGCTGAAGAAGTAGCCCGAGTAGGCTCTGCCTTGGGCCTGCGACGGGAAGGCAGTGCAGTCGACCCAGAGGTTCCTGATGGACACCCACGGCGTCGCGTACGGATCTCTGTCTGATTTCCTCCGTTCGACTCCGGGGCTCAGGACGTGTTGCCCGGGCAAAACGTCACGATGCGAAAAGGGGGCCGGACCGCTACCGAGTACGGGGTACACCGGCATCCGAATGGTCAGGTATTTGAAGCCGCCTCGCACAAAGTCCTTTCCGACGCAGACCACTCCAGTCTGGGTTCCAAACTCGATCTGCAGGGGCAGGTCTCCATGCGAACGGTCCGTCGTCGCGTCGGGCAGCTTCCCTGAGAGCAGAGGAGATTCAGAGTAGGAGAGGTAAAGCTCTGGATCGTCGCCCACAGATTCGACGTCGAAGCAAACCCTGTGCCGCCTGTCAGCGATGATGAGTCAAACCCACGGCTTGAGCTCCCCCGCCTCCGTCACACGTACCGGCCGCCAGTGTTCTCGTCAAACTCCAGAGTCAGCAGTCCCTCGGGCCCGATCAATATGCCCTGTCCAGGAACATGGTCGCCTGGTGTGACGGCCCGTGGCGTGGCGGAGCTCGTCGTGACATCGCCAAAGGTGGTCAATATGCGAGCCGGCGTGATGCGCGTCTTATCTGCCGGGGCCTTGATATAACGTTCCCACGGCCCGGGGAAGAGCGTCTCGTCGGGGAGAGCGGCGTAGTCAATGTTCTTGGCTCGCACATCGACTGACGACACGAGAAGGAGAATGAAGGCGGCGAGGCGCCGGATCGTAGCCATGGGGAGACGTTTATGGTGTGGCTGCTCATTCAAGTCACCATCAGAGACAAAGATGGGGAGGTTTCTCTCATGCTTGACTGACTACAGTGGTATGCATCCGAGAGCTGTCGTCATGTGAGAGTGTAACATAGCGACCTGCCTAGTAAGGTAGGTAGATACCGGTTTTGTGGTAAGGCGAAGTACCCCGCGTCATTCCGTCATTGTTCGATCTTCGGCAGCTCCCGCGACCACTCCGCAACCCCTGAACAGCCGCGTGTATGTGTGTGTTTGGGAGAAAGAGAGTGTGTGAGAAAAAGAGAGAGACAGAAAGGGCGTGCGCTGTCACTAGTTGCATCGTCTTCAAGCTGATGTTGAAATGAACTTGTATTTCCCATATTGCAGGCCAAGCTTTGCTGGCGTCCAGACCAGCGCCCATGCCAAACGCCGTCTCGAGTGATACCAGAAACATGCCTGCGCCTCCTCACGCCGAAGTAACCCTTGGGGTTCCTGAGTATGCAACCTCCTTACCAGATGGCCGCCTGGTCGAAATCGAAACGCTTGAGCTCCTTGCCCGCATCCTCCAGATCCTTCTTCGCCTTCATTCGCATGTAGAAAATCGGACAGTCCTTGCTGCTGCAGATGACCTCGCAGTGGATGCTGCCCTGGCACCGCTGACACTGCGTCCAGAGGCGCCCAAAGCGCACCTCGAGGTCAGATACACGGTCCAGCGTCTTCTTGTACAGCTCGCCCACACGCGGCGCGCAGTCTGAGCACACAGCGCCCTCGGCCTCTTGCTTGCTCGTCAGCGGCTTCTTGCAGCCCATGCACGTCTGCGTCTTCTTGGCGAACTTCATGAGACCTCCGACCATGGGCGCCGCCACGGCAATCGTTCGCGTGTGCGCGCCCGTCAGGAGCGAGTTGGCCTTGGTCTCTCCGAGGATCGGCTCGAAGATGCGACCCAGCGGCTTCGCCAGCTGGTTGTCCAGGTAGTACCTCGTGTCGATCGGCACATTGTTCTCCAGCACGAAGATGGGGTCCTCCGACTTTTCATAGTTCTTCGCTCCCGCCGCGCCCTTGATCATGACGTACGCCACACGGTCGCCCAGTCCGGGAGCCGAACCTGCATCGCGCTTCTTCATCCGTTGGGCGAGTTCCACGTGTGCCTGCTTTGCCGAGTAGTCGTCCTTTGTCAGCGCCTTGGTGATGACAAGCTTTGACATGTCCACCTTGTTCTGTAGCAGGTCGGCGATCATGTCTTTGACATATCTGCGAGACAACGTTAGCCTCGGAAACCCCGTGTCTGGGACTCACACATGTGTCTGTGAAACTTACTCTTGCGCGCCTTGGACGTCCTGGTCGATGAGAATCATGCGCAGCACCTTTTCAATGACCGTCTGGACCAACAAGCAGTTGTCTCGACGAACCGTCTCGATACCCTTCGTGTCCATCTTGTCGTACTTCTCCGGCTTGGTCCAGTAGAGACCAGCATAGCGCTTCTTGTTGATGAGCAGGTACGGGAAATAGACCTTTTCAAACTCGAGCTTGATCGGCTTGACAAACTTGGAGGACACAAAGCCGGCGGCTTCCTCGCCCAGCTTCATTGCTTCGGCCAGGTCCTTGGTGCCAAACTTGACCATGACGGAATCCGTGTCACCGTAGATGACCTGCGCGTCGTGCGAATACCCGTTGGCGATGGTGTACTTGGCCTCCACCTCCTCCTTTGTCTTTTCAATCATCTGCCGACCAAAACTTGTGGTACTACTGGCGATTTCCAGACACGGCAGCTTGCCCGTTGTGGCACCCGTGAGACCGTACACCGAGTTGGCGCTAACCTTTAAAGCCAGTTGTCGACCGTTCAGCACAGCCTTCTTGAATGGATCAGTTTCGACTGCGAGCTCGCGCTTGGCCTGCTTTCGGGCAGCCAGCAACTCCTCGAGAATTTGTGCGAGGAGACCCTTTCGTTGCTTGGCTGTAACAAAGGTGTTGCCCGCAGGAGTGACGATGTAATCCTCGTCCTTCTTGAGGCCAAGTTTCTCGATGGCCTTCTTATCTACAATGGTCGTATAACAAAGGTTGTGCGCCTGCATGATACTGGGGTATAGAGATGCGAAATCGAGCGTCGCAATGGGAACGTCATAGTAGCCTCTTGTCGGCTCAATGACCGTTGCACCTTCGTACTGTTCGTCGCTAGCCTCGGACTTCATGTTGGGAATCACCAGCTTCTGCTCCAGCGCCTTGCGGAAAAGCTGACTGATGAACCTCACCTGCTGGCCTCGAGCGAGCAGCATGTTGAACGGAGCGCCTGTGACTCTTGCCATTTCTGTGTAGTTTTCGAGGCAAGAGAGCTTGTCCATGAGGCGTTGTGGCAAGTAGGCGTCCTTCAGACAGTACAGCGCCAGTCGACGTCGCGATTCAGGGGTACCGTTGAAGAGTTCTGTAATCATTGTGTGGTGGACGTCCTCCTTCTGCTCGCCCAAGAATTGGGAGCACACCGAATTGAGCGTATAACTTCGCAGGTGATGATCGCGCTGCACTAGTTGCAGGAGATCGAGCTGCAACCTGCCGTTGGTGTTGGTGCTCTTCGAGTCGCGGTTGCCAATCTGCTTGCTGGAGAAGCTCGTTTCTTTGGCTCTCGAGGGCATACTGGGAATACGGGACCAGTACTCGAAGCCTGCGACCTTGAGATGTTTCGCGCGGTCGAGCAGATACGGGAAATCGAAGTTGGCAATGTTGTATCCGATGATGAGATCCGGGTCGACGCTCTGGAGGAACTTTTGCCACTCCTTCAACATCTTTTCTTCCTTATCGAACTCGAGAACTTGTGTCGCAACAATGGAGCTGGTTGTGTCCAGACAGAACACATTGCGAATGAAGGGCTTCTTCTCTCCGTATCTTGTGACAACGTTTGCGATCTGGATGACGGGGTCGTGGTTCGCCTCTGGGAAAATGCCCTTGCGACCGGCACACTCGATATCAAAGGACAAGATGCGGAGCGGCGCCATCTTTGACCATTCGCCTTCCGGTTTGTGTGCGACAAGGTCAAGATAGCTAATCTCGGCCTCGATCTGGCAGTTGGACTGTCGTAGCGAGCTGGACATCACTTTGTAGGATTTCGCCGGTGCTTCGACCCAGGACATGCCTTGTAGCTATAGTGACGGTCAACACTTGCAGGGGCGAGATTGCATGAGGCGATCAACGTACCTTGCAGTCCACCATGAAGCGCAGGACATATTGGATGTTGTCAAACGTCATCACGCCACCGTCAACGCCCTTCCAGAGGCCCTTCCAGTTGGCATTGCCGGCCTCGATAGTAGACCGCACTTTGCCAATGTGCTTGGGATCGTTCACCGTGATCTTGAGATACGGGTTCTTGACATTGCCCTGGAAGCCATAGATGTTTTCGCGCATGAGAAGGGCCACGGAATGAATGACGGGCTGGTGCTGAGCGACCTGCGTCTCCAGATACGCCCTAAAGTTGTTGCAGTCCTCGGGCTGGAAGGAGACGGGGGCGGCAATGTAGAGATAGTGCTTAAAGTCGGTAACGTGCAGCATGACCGAGTGACCAGCCTCGGTGACGCCAAACAGCTTGACGGTGGCACGGCCTCCATGCAATGTACCCTCCTCAGCCTCGATCTGTTGAAAGACAATGGTGGTCTTTTCAGGGTTGAAGTCGTCGAGCGGCGGTCGCTCCCATGCTTGGTCCTTCTCGCTGTTGTTCTGTTTCAGTTCGGAAATGTCCTGGCTCAGCTTCTCAAGGACTTCGGACTCGAATGCGCTCTTCGGCTGGCTCGAGTTCAGAGGGTTTCTCGGGTTTCTTTGGCTTCCTGCGAAGCGCGTCACGGGTGAGGAGGCAAAGGGCTCGACCTTGCGCTTCTTGGAACCTGGGGACGAGGGGATGTTGCGGCGGGCGTTCGAGGTCTCCCCGAGCACACGTTTTTGGGGCAGCACAGACGTTGCCATGATGAAAGGAAAGAAAGGCTGAAGCCTTCAACAACCAGGAAATCCGAGTATCAACAGTAAGAGCTCAAACACTTCCGGTGCGCATGTTGCGATGGTTATTGAGTGTGATGGGAAATGGTTGTCCGGCCAGAGAGGGGGGTCTGGGTCTGGGGAGGGACAATTTCGTTGACATGCCGTGCTGGGTTCGCGGGTAGCACCTGCTCAGAGACGCGTCAGAGACGTGACGTGAATCGGTCTGTTTAATGGGCGACAGGGGTACGCGATTCATGACTAAGCAGGTTTGCCCCGCAGACGCCGCCCTGTCCAACCGCTTTACAGGTATTGACATCCCTAGCACAATAGCAGCATCCTACTGTCTTGAATTGCACTGGAGATGGAGAGAACGCAGACCTGATGTAGAGTCACAAATTAAAATATAGAACAAGTAATCAATTTCTTATGCCACCCTTGAGCCAACCAAACCGGACGCCGGCGCTAACAGTGCAATTGTGTTCTCAGAATCCAATGGGTCATGATTATTGCAAGCTTGGAACCACCCCAATGTCTAACTGCTACCAGACAGAACATCTCGAGCCATACGTGCAGGGGCATCGATGGTATCGAACTTGAGCTCGCCCATCTCACACCAACCGTTCACGGGCTAGATAGAGAACTAGAGTCAGTGACTTCTTCCTCAGCATTTCAGAAAGGTACAACTTACCAAGCAACTCAGATACTTGCACCAGCTGCAGGTGCTGTGGCTGACGTAAAAGTTGTTGAGCAGAACGATGAAGACAACGATGACGAGAATCAAGGCGGCCGCGCGGACAAGCCACCAGGCCCACCAGAGAGGCTTGCGGCCCTTGAAGAAGCCTGTAGGGTTCTTCACAAATGGCACGGGGCCCGCCTGAGCGCCCTCGCCGTTGACGGTGGCATAAGACGTGTCATAGCCCAGGCGCCTGCGCAGGGAGTTCGGCGAGTGAAGGACACAGATGCCGAGACACAGGCCCATGAGGAAGCCTCCAATATGGGCAAAGTTGTCGAGACCCGGCAGAAGACCAAGGACGAAACAAATAACAACATCCAAGAGCACGAACATGAGATCCTTCACAGGATGGCGGCGGTCTTTCCAAGAGTACGCCAAATCGAGGGCCGTCAGGGCGATGATGCCAAAGAGGGCACCCGAGGCGCCCGTCGAAGCCTCGCCCGTTCCAGCATAATTGGCGCCCATAACATTGCCGAAGATGCCAGCACTAAAGTAGACGAGGAAAAAGCGGACGGGCCCAATGGCCATCTCCATTTCTTTGCCGATGGTCATCTGCAGAAGCATGTTGACTCCGATATGGATAAGACCGGCGTGCAGGAAGATTGGCGTAATGAAGCGGAACCACTGGTTGGGTTCACCCTTCTCGTTGGGGTCCTGGGGGTTGGGGACGCCGCCAAAGCCGCACAGCTCACCGAGGCTGCAGCGGTTCGACTCGTCGTTCTGGTCGTTCGAAGTCGTGTTGGGGCAGGGCCACCAAATGGGCTGTTGAGCTTCCTTGATGGCCTCGACGGTGTGCATGCAGGGCACGTAACGAGCACCCATGTTGATGTTGACGTAGAAAGAGGGGCCAATCATGGGGTTGAAAGAGGGTTTGATCATGATGGGAGAGCCTGTCAGAGTCGCTAATCCTAGGTTAGCACAAGAATCAAGAGCAGAGGCACTGATTGTTTTCCCCCAACATACCATTTCTCACAATCTGACCGATAAACACACCAACTTGCGCGATCGTCAGGATGTAGACGACCCAGGCGATGCGCTTCTTGTCGGCGCCCAGCATCCCCAGCTGGCCGAAGCCGACCCTTCTAGACTTCTTTCGCCCGCTTGAGCCTGGGGCCTCGTACACATGATCGTTCATCTCCACATCCTTGGCTGGCGGCTGATCGTGCGGTAGGTTCGGGTTCTGGCCCTGATTCTGCAGTGGAATGTCGTCGGCGAAGTGTGCCTGCGCTGGGACGGCGGATGCTGGTGAAGGCGAGGAGTTGTAGGGCTGCGGCTGCTGCTGCTGCTGCTGCTGACCGTAGTAGGCCGTGTCAAGGTTGCCGTAGGGGCCGGCCTGTTGGCGCGGCATATTGTTGTTGTTGTAGGCGTTGTGGCGGAAGCCGTTCTGTGTCGAGTCTGTCGGGTAGGCCGGGTCGTCAAAGACGGTGTCGAAGGGGGAGACGGTGTCGGCGCGATGCGGTTGGCTGTTGCTGCTGGGCGCGGCATACGTCGAGGCGGAAGAGTAGGGAGGCGCGGGCGTCGACGCTATCGACGGCGTGTAGGTGCCCTGAGCGTGAGCGTGTCCGTAGTAGGGAGACTGCGAGGCGCCACCGGGAGATGGCGGACGATTGCCATGGTAATAGTCGTTGGAGGCCATATCGTGACTTATGTGTGGTTGCTTCTCCGAAAACAAGCGACAAACAGCGAGCGACGTGTTCAATGCGAACCAGGACGATGGTCGGACGTCGTCCAGGAAATTTCGCTTGTAAAGCAAGGGGAAAGAGCCTGGGTGGGCGGAGGGATTAGAGGCACGGGGTCTTGAAGGGGAAATAAGGCGTGGAGGTGCGTCCGGGAATGCAAAGAAGCTAAAAGGTGTAGTGATGGTCGGGTGCCTGAAGAGGGACAAGGCACGGGCAGGGCGGGCAAGAATACGGGGTCTTTTCCAGAGCGCAGGTGCTAGGTTCCCCAGTTGTGACGTCGAAGTGTCCTAGGTCGCCCAGGGGCCAACGTGGCGCGGTATGTTGACTTCTCTCGATGGGGCCCGAGTGCAGGCTGACGACGCTGGTGGAGTTACTTCTTCCTGTTAGGTTTTTTTTCTTTTGGTTTGACTCTGGAAGTTTCTGCTATGAGGTAGGAAGAGGCAGAAAGAGAAACCAGGAGAGAAAGGATGCTCTGGACGGGTAAGAAGCATGATTGTCCGAGACCTGATCGTTTGTGGTCTGCCTGCTAGGTACCTAGGTACCTACCTAGGTAAGGTAGGTCGGTATCGCGTCTACGTGAAGTGGCTGGCGACGCCGGAGGGCTGTGCAGGCAGTTGGGTGCCTCTGGCTCAGACTTGGGTGCTCTTTAGTGGCTGCACATGCCAAGCGGCTTCTAAAAGTGGCACACAAACGGGAAAGCCAGAAGCCTCAGCCAGTGAGATGGCGCCGCTAGCTATGCACATGTATGCCGGTGGAGGTGCGACCGCCAGCCGCGAGTTTCAGATGCTTCATTATGCACCCTGACATTCTGCATCAACTGGCGAGTCAGGACCCAGCACCGCCCGCCGCATCGCATGAAGACTACCTCCCTCTGCCTGCCTGCCTGCCTGCCTGCCTGCCTGCCTGCCTGCCTTACCTTACACCGACATGATATATATCACCGAACCAGTGGCCACCCGTTTGCCCGTTGATCGCCGCCCTGCCCTCCCTCGCCTGGCCTCCCATTTGAGCGAGCAAGCGGTCGGCTCGTCCACGGCCATGTCCACAGCGGTTGCACCACCGGACATCCCTTCTCGGCGAACCCACAGTGGCTGGCTTGGCCACACAAGGACAGATCAGTGGGCGGACCCCACCATCCCAGGTCCCTGGAGGTACCCTTCGACTACCTACCTAGGTACCTACCTAAGGTAGGTAACTGCAGAGGCAAAGAGGCTCAGCACGCGTCTCTCGGCATCGGCAATGCTAGCACAGCTGCCCGTGGCGCAGCATGCACAGCAGACGCACCACGCACCTGTACCGATGGAGCAACGGGCTTGTCAGGCTGCCTTGGGATTGCGACAAACTCGAGATTACGAGAATTGACGCTCCGTGTTGATTCGTTGCCTTCAGAATCGAATGCCGGGTGGACCATCGCACTATTGATCGCCCTCGCAACCTCTCCACATCTGTTGCTATTCTGGAATCCCACATCTGTCTTGTCAAAAACGTCCACGGCATTCGTCCCGGGATGTGCCGTAATGGCAATCCACAATGACACGCACTTTGGTCTGGAGCAGAGATCGTGTGACTGACAGCATCACGTATCCCTTTGCAATGAGCAGCGCGTCCTCAATACTGATACCTAGGCACGCAGAGCTTTGCTGGCAAGTCTGATATCATTATAGCATTATAGAGGAGATTCTTGATCGTGGTCCTTACAGCATGAGCACCGAAAGCTCTACCGACCTTTTCCCGTGTCATTTTACAGGTGGTTGTACAACAGCCGTCGAGGCCGGCCTCCTGCTCCATCGCAAGACACGCCGCCGGCTTACGCCTTGTTGCCGTCGTCATCCTTCTTCGTATCGTCGCTCTTGCCCGAGATGACCTCACTGATCTGGCCCATGATAATCCCGCTGAGCCCCTGTCCCTCTTCAAGTGCCGTCTGGTGCTCCTCGGCTCGTTTCTTGTTCCAGGACTCCTCCGTCTCGTTGCCGTACCACAGCCTCTGCAGCGCGTTCCGCTTCGCCAGCTCCTGCTGCCGCAAACCCTCCTCCGTGAGCCCCTCGCGTCGCATCTTCTCCTCGCGCAGCCGCCTTTGCGTCTCCTGCGCCGCCGGCGGCAGCTCGTTCGTCGTCAGCCGCTCGAAGCGCTTGCCCACGCGGTCGTAGATGGACTGGCCCGTCCAGTCGTATGCCAACTGGGACGTCGACATGGAAAATGTTGTCGTCAGCAGGAAGAACCGCCAATCCACGCGCCGCGGGGGCAGCAGCATGATGATGGGTGAGATGACGGCGCCCGCAATGGCGGCGTTGTGGATGAGGGGCGGTGTCGACGGCTTGCCGCTGGCGGCTGGTTGTGCTTGCTCGGCCATTTTGACGATGTGGATCTGCCGAATGAAGATGTCGTCGTAGATTCGGATGGGTTTTTTTCTCAATTGCTGTCGGCAGCTTCGCTTTGCTGTGCTCGTGATTTGGATAGCGTGATGCGTCGCAGACAGGGTACCCAGGGAAGCTCTTGGTTTTTTTCCACGACTGATTCTATCTACGGTCCTTATCGGACTGCCTATCAATGACACTCTCTCGGGTCGCGCTGCGTGACCTAACCGAAATGGGCAAGAAGGCCTGCACCCTCTTTTCCACGAGCCCCTTCCAACCTCACGACCTATGTCTGCTGTAATGATTTGGCGATATCATACCAACAAGAACCAAGTCAGAGTGGGACATCAAAAGTCGAAGTTCGAGCTTTGCAGACACTCGATTCCGCGCATGCAGGACCAGGCCTAAAAGTCGCCATCGTGATCCGAACTGGTAGTCAAGCCGGCCATCGAATGCCACGAGAGGGTTAATCTGTCGGCGACGACGCCCATGGCTTTTCTTTCTAATTAGACCGACGACTCGCCGCTTCCTGCTGCCGAAGCGCCCCTCCACTGGCTGGGCTATCTTCTCTCGGTCACGACCTACCTGGCCTATGGCGCCGACTGGAGAGGCATGTGGCACGGTACTGAATGGGTAAGTCATGTCTGGTGTGTGTTTGTGTGTACAGACCGCTTTGCCACGAAGTCATCCATCGGTATTGGCGGTCTGAACCCGAGGTTGCCTCTGCATGCCTTACCATGCGTCTTAACCTTGGCCCTTTTCTGGCGAACTGAATGCAAACATGAAGCCGTATGGCCTTCATCTCACTTCTCATCAGGCATGGTCAATCATTTAAAGACACTCATTGTCAGCAAATCAAGAGTGCCTTGCATCATCCAGTGGCTCCAATAACCAACTGACCTAGAGCCTATGTCCGACCTGTACTGCATTCCTGCAAAAGCGATGTAGCTAACCCTTCGTACGCAGCGCATACCGCCTCTGCAAGACTAGCCCTTACCGCGCCACGGCCAAGACGCGGCCGCCAGCTGTTCGAAGCTCATCGCCAAGTCGAACCATCCCAGCATGGAAGATTTGGACATCTACCTCGATAGTCAGCCAACACGGTCACCAGCCACCAGCCTCGGGCAACAAAACCTCCTACCCTCAGGACCGGCAGCGATGTCGATTCTATCACCTTGCCTGTGCTCGCCGGGATAACCCTCAGAAGCTATAACCACATTCCAGACGTACCCCTGCCGAATGCCCAGGACCTGGCTAGAGAGGCTTCCATTCGTGCAACTCACACAGATGCCTGCCAGGTTGGTGCCTGGCGTCCAACAGCGGAATTAAGGATTGTAACTCCGGACCGCCGGATCGAACATTGTACTCGGGAGCCTTTGGCCCTCTAGGTGTGATCATGACACCTGTGAAGACAATCCCGCGAAAGACATGTCCCGGTTGAACGGCCATCAATCAGTCCCTGCAGAAGCAGAGCGCAGGATACAACAAAGTGCTCCGACATACCGTCAGATTGCAGGCCTTGAAGGGTAGGGACGACAAGGTCCTTCTCCATCTGAGCCATCAGTTCGCGTGATAAAAGTCCACTGGTCCATAAACCCCCATGCCCCTGGTAATCGGACCCTTCGAACCAGCGAATATCCGTTTGTGGTCCCGGACCGGTGGCAACGATCTGAAAGTGTGGCCGTCACAGAATGCGAGGATGCTTATCTCGTCACCCGACAGGAACTCCTCGATGACGACTTCCTGATGCCCAAACTTCTTGTCGACCATCATCTCGTGGAGCTCTCGCTGGGCTTCTTCCTGCGTCTCGGGGAGAACGACGCCTTTCCCGGCAGCAAGACCGGACACCTTGATCACGACGCGGTGGTTGACAGAAGAAAGATAGTCTCTTGCGTGCTCATAGGTGTCAAAGTTGCGGTACTCTGCCGTGGGGATACCGTAACGTCTAATAAAGTCTTTTGCAAACGTCTTTTGACCCCTCCAGCCTTGCGGCAGCTTTCGATGGTGCAAAACAAGGGATGCCGGCTAGCGAACTCGATGGTTGACAGCAGGCTCTACGATCCAGATAGCATAACCACCCACCCTGTTCGAAAACGTCAGCAATGCCCTCGACGACAACGTCGTCAGGACCAGGCAGGACGAGATCAACCGCCAACGTCCGGGCCAAGGCCACGAGGCTCTCGAAGTCGTGCATGTCGGCACGTTCCACGTTGGAAACGTTGGGCGCCGAAGCAGCCGTGCCCCCATTGCCGGGAACGATGAAAACGCGCTGGGCCGTTTGGCAGAGCTTCCACGCCAGAGCGTGCTCGCGGCCCCCCTTTCCGATGAGAAGCACTCGCATAATTGAGAGAGGGTCGGATCAACAACGAGTGGGGTAGAAAATGGTGGTGCTTTGCAAGAGGTATCGAGGCGCTGGCGGCCTGGGGTTGAGTTATGTCGTGTCTGCTTCTGCGGCAGTCGGCACCCGTTCTCGGTGGGTGTAGCCGAAGCTGTTCGACGAGGTTGGGCGAACAAAGTGAGATTCGGGACGCATTCTTAAACTTCCTACGCGGAGTGGTGAGACCATCACAGATGAAAAAAACTTAGGCTCCCTGCCTACCTACTTTGAGGACCGAGATTCAGTTGGCTATGCGGCGGCAGGCGGTCGGTCCATAGATCCCCAGCATTCTTTCTTCGGGCCAAACACCGACCGTACTGATCATTGTTGTAGCAGTCTTGCATACATCTTAAATAGGATGCAGTGGGAACAATATCATGAGCTAAAGTGAAGTCTATCATGTACGCAAAACGCTTTTCCAACCAGTTATCGCCTATCCATACCCCTTTGATTTCTCCCACAGCCCTCTCAGCTCTGAGGTTGAGGCCCTTCCTGAGGCGTGGGCGCGGTGCCCAGTATCGAGGCTTCGTTCTGCCAGAGGTGTGCACCAGCTTCCTTCAGCAGCTGGACGCACTCCTCATTATCCACACGCTGGGCCAGGAAGAGCGGCGTGTTATTGGCCCAGTTTCTGACGTGCACGCTCGCGCCCTTGACCAGCAGCTCCCGCAGGATCTCTGCCCGCCCAACGGCGGCCAAATGCACGGCCGTGTTGCCCGCATAGTCGGCCTTGGTCAGGAGCGGGTGGTGCTCGCCGACGTGGTCCTGCTCCAAGATTTCCTTGACCGTCTTGAGATTCCCGTCGCGAATGGCATAGCCGAGCGCGGTGAAGGCGGTCTCGGCAGAGGATAGACGCGCAATGACGGAATCCAGCGAACTTGGGTGGGAGAAGACGGGCCGCGTCTCGGCCGTCATCTCGCCGCGGATGGAGGCCGACATCCTGGCGCTGACCTCAGCGGTCGTCAGGTTGGGAAGAGCTAGCAGGAAGGAGAGCTTAGTTAGAGCAGCCTCAGTCGTGAGGTCCTGGCCAAAGATGACACCTGCGCGACCCAGGTCGGTGCCCGGGCCGTAGACGGGGGAGACGAAGCCGTCGAGACACTGGCTGACATTGACTACGACGATGCCGCGGTCGACCGCGGCCTTGATAACCTTGGTGAGGCTGCCATCCACACCACCAGGGGCGTTGCCCATGCCGAATGTCCGTAGGACCAGGCCTCGAATGTCCGGTCCGCGCAGGACCGAGTCGAGCATCTCGGGCTTGATACCGGGGAAGATGTGAATGCAAGCAACGTGGGCCGTGTCGAGGTGCTGGGTAACCTGGAGCTCGGCAATCTTTGTCGGTCGAAGAACGAGGGGCCAGTTGACGTCGATACCAAGACCGTTCATCTTGGCCAGGGGCTCGCAGTTGGGACTGGCAAAGGCATCAAAGTTGACGGCCGAGTTCTTTGTCGTCCGGTTTCCTCGGAAGAGCTTGTGGTGGAAGAAGAGGCCGACCTCCGGGATGAGGAACGTTCCCGCAATGATGAGAGAGCCTAGGAGGTTGTCCACGGCGTCCGATTGCAGGGCGAAGATTGGCGCTTGAGATCCGGTCAGAATAACGGGCTTGCCGAGGTCTGACATCATGAAGGACAGGGCGGACGCCGTATAAGACAGCGAATCGGTGCCGTGCAGAACGACGAATCCGTCGTACTGACGGTAGTTCTCCCTGATGGTCTGAGCGACTTCGGTCCAGCCGGCGGATGAGATGGAGCTGGAATCCAGCAAGGGCGAAAATTCAAGGACGCCGTAGCGGATGTGACGAGAGTAGGCGCTCGGCGGCGTCCGCAGGCTGTCCAGCATGACCTTCTGGCCGTCTTTGTACGCCTCAAGCTGGGGCGGGTTGGACATGTCGTTGAACGATGGACGAGGTGCCAAAGCAGCTTTGAGGAACCCTCCGATAGGCTGCAGACCGTCGGGTGTTGGCTGCATGCAGATGGTGCCGCCGGTCATGATGACCAGGACCCGAGACTCTGGCAGGATGGACTGAGTGGTCGCCATTGCGTCTGCCGTATCTCGCGACTGTCCCTGTCTCAGTGCAAGATCAAGAGGTTGAGGGCGTGATGTCTTCCAGAGCCAAACCCAAACAAATGTCAGTTGAACCTGCAGATTTGATTTTCTGGTACGGCAAAATGTGCGCTCAGCTCAAGGGGTGGGGGGAGTGACCAGAATGCCGTGATCGGGGTTCCATAGTGTTGGCAAATAGAGGCACAACTCTCTCATTCAAGAGGGTATGGAACTCACCAGGAACCAACTCGGAGTTTGGTTTGTGTCGGTTTGTAAGATAGTCCACTGGGAAATATTAATGCTTCAGTGAGTGGTGTCGACGGCAAATGAAGTCTGGCAGTTCTGGGGAATTCGTTGGCACAAGAGTCTTAAAATTTGTCTGTCATGGCGGTTCGAGCAACGAGAGAATCGTGGTGGTCGGCTGCTCAGTCGAAAGCAGGAAAGTGGGGAAAACAGGACGGCAGATCCGATTCATCATCGTGCCCATCTGGACGCTCTGTGTGTTGTTCCACCAAGGACGAAAACTATGCTTCTCGAAACAAAGGCTCCGCGGCGACGGAGGTACCGACTGATAAGAGTTACGCCGATTTCCTGGCCAGACTGCCGGTGGATCAGCTCCAGGAGGGTCATGCGCTACCAAAAACGACGTGAATCAGTAGTGTCCCGACTCAGGATCACGGAGCCGCTGCCAGGCTCTTCGAAAGCGATGGGGTAATCGTTAAGTAACCGCGGGGAAGAAGGGAGACCACATGTGAGCACGCAGGGCTCCAGACGAGGGGCAAAATAAGCAAGTGAGTGTGATTGGAAGTGTTGAACTGGCTTGTGAAATGAGGGTCGTCGAATTGCGGCGAGCCATCAGGCGTGGAGAGTGCCAGACCAAAAAGGTTCTGGAAATGGTGCAAGCCAGGACGCCGAAAGCTTTAGCCTTTCTTTCGTTTGCTTGTTGTTGCATCAGAAAAAAAATCTTGGAAGGTTGCAGACATGCAGCCGCCAGCAACTCGGCTTGAGCGGCATCTCGGCTCTTTCTCCCAGGGCCTGTTAATCCTCTTCAACTTTTGCATGATGTGGAAGAGGCACGAATCATACCAAGACTCAAGAGACTGGTACTTCGCTGAGCTGAAATGGAAAGGATTCGATCACGCCTTTGACTGCTCTTGCCCACTGACTTCTCGGGCTTGCCAGAGGCGTAAAGAGGAGGAAGGCACGGGTGGAGAGGACGCTCGAGCCACCTAAGGAGGTGAGACAGCGTGCATTGAATGTTTTCTACTTGGATAGGACCTTGCTGGCCCGTGGAGAATACACCCAATTATAAGTACTAGACGTGTACTAGTCATGAGTCCCGATAACGACTATCTTTCTTGCCGCGTCCTTGATGGTTCTCTGGGCCATCTTTTTGCCTGAACCCAACTGACGATTCTTGCTCTCACCATCCACTGACGTACCAGTGCAAACTCGCCATGCCTTGTCACGACAAGCAGGCGTCCCGAACAGATCATATCACTTGAATGTCGACAGAAACCTCAACATAGTACCCTGCGAATGCACTGTCGCGACTTTTGACCCCGATTCCCATCGACCTTGACCGGTAGCGCAAAACGCGGCCAACCCACCATGGAGTCTCCAATGCCCAGCAGCAACGGCGGCTTGTCGCCGCGCTCTTTTGCCATACAACACCAGCGCCCGCGGATCAGCTTTACAGGGTGCTCCAGAATCACCGATTATGAGGTACTCGGCAAGCTTGGCGAGGGTACCTTTGGGTAGGTTTTCTCTGCTTGCCCTTGCTCTTGCCCAAATCGCTCCGCCGCTAACCCTCGTTCGCCCAGCGAGGTTCATCGCGCGCGTTCGCGCAAGACCAACGCTCTCGTCGCGCTGAAGAAGATTATTATGCATAATGAAAAGGATGGCGTAGGTCAAACCCAGTTCATCGCGCGTAGGCCCTGCCAGGCCATGCGTGACGACCCAAGACCACTTGAGGCTGACGACAATCTCCAGTTTCCCATCACCGCGCTCCGAGAGATCAAGCTCTTGAAACTGCTCTCCCATGATAACATCCTCCGTCTCGAAGACATGGCAGTAGAGCACCCCCCTAGATGTAAGGCACCCAACCATGTCACCCGTCGTCCGAGTGCGGGACGCAACGGCTAACAATCCCCCCAGCGAACGATGTGAAACGAAAACGACCAATCATGTACATGGTTACACCTTATATGGACCACGATCTTTCCGGACTCCTCGATAACCCCTCGGTCACATTTACCGAACCCCAAATCAAATGCTACATGTTGCAGCTTCTCGAAGGCCTGCGTTATCTACATGATCAACATATCCTTCACCGAGACATGAAGGCTGCCAATCTGTTGATCAACAACAAAGGAATCCTCCAGATTGCCGATTTTGGTCTGGCGAGACACTACGACGGGCCCACGCCCAAGGCCGGCCAGGGAGGTGGAGATGGCAAGCGGGAGTATACCGGCCTGGTCGTCACCAGATGGTACAGGCCTCCCGAGCTTCTGCTGCACCTGAAGAAATACACGACTGCTATTGACGTCTGGGGTGTTGGGTGAGTTGACAAGAATCCCGCTGCCGATCGCCGTCTAACTTGGGAGTAGTTGCGTGTTTGGTGAGATGCTTACCGGGAAACCTATCCTTTCGGGTGACAGCGACGGCCACCAGCTAGATATCATCTGGGACCTCGTGGGCTCGCCGACACCACAAAACATGCCGCTGTGGAGCACACTTCCTGGCTCCGAGGGGCTGCAACCGCGGTCCCGTCCCGGCAACTTGTCCACGAGGTTCAGGGAACACGGTTCGGCCGCCATCTCGTTGCTCAAGGAGCTTCTAAAGCTGGACTGGAAGACGCGCATCAACGCCATTGATGCGCTGCAGCACTCGTACTTCAAGATGTCGCCTCTGCCGGCCAAGGCGCACGAGCTCCCAACATTTGAGGAGAGCCACGAATTTGACAGGCGCAAGTTTCACGACCGCAAGGCAGCCCTGCCTCCAGCCCCTAAGGGTGGCACGGATGGCATGGGCCCCGAAGCGCATGGCGCGAGCGCCGGTTTCAACACTGGGGACAGCTATGCAAGCGGTCGCAACGGGTGAACGGAGGGCGC